AATAGGTAGTGTCCCAAGCTTGATTGCTTTTGCTGTTTAAAAAAAATTCTTGGCCAAACAAAATTTGCTGTCCAGCAGTTTTTCAAGGTTGGACAAGAGTAAAAGGGAAAACAGGTGGAGAGAGAGAAGTCAAAAGTCTTATCTGAGAGGTAAGTGCAGAATATAATGGGACAAAAGGTGATGCATGGGGAAAACGATGACCACGGAGAGAAGTAAGGACGGATGAGAACAGGAGTTAGAGGAAAATGTGAATATAAGCTCAGATTTTGGGGGCAAGTGCTGAAAGGTGGTAGGCAGAAGAAATGGAAAAACGAAAATGCAGATTTATAGAAGGAGGGCATATAGATGGTTTCCCTGCAAATAGTGAATTCAGCTTTGGCATTCTGGATGGAGTTCTGGACATTGGAGTGTCTGAATTTGTCTTCAGTTGCCTACAAATGGTTTGTGAAAATCACTTTCACATTGTGTATCTCAGTCCCCACAGATGAACTTACTTCATTAGTTCAATTGGTGGAATTTTGTGCTGTGGCTCTAACGAGACAAAATCTGTTGATGAGACAAGGTGGGCTCCTAATTTTGTTCCATGGGGTATCATTTCTGTTGTGGTTTTGTGTGTGTTCATGTCACTTAGTCACATACTGTTTCACCTGGGCCTTTGTTTTAAGGCCTCAGATGATTCAGAATGGTACAGGAAAGAATAATGTAGGACCCTCTTTGCAGAAAGTAAAAGGTATATATGTGAAAGTCTATATGTGAAATAGGAGAGTGGTAGAAGAGTGGGAATAGTATGCTCTCGTGATTAGGAAAATTGGCCACCATGAGAATGGGATTCTGTCCCTGCCTTTACCAGTAAGTTGCTATTAATGATGGCCAAACTGCTCTGACCAAAGTTTTCCATTGGCCACTAACTTTGGATTATTTGAAGTTTCTACTGTGGGCCAGATTGGCAGACCGCTCTCCCAGCTGCAGTTCAAAGTCATTGGTAGTGTACTTTGGACATATAAAATGCTATACAAGTACTAAGTACGAAGAAAAATCAATATTCTGATTTCTCAGTTTGGGAACCCAAAATCCATGGAAACTTTTGCCAATTTTGCCCATTGTCCCTGTGCGTAACTGTCTCTTTACAAAATAGGTGTGATAGGAGGGAAAAGCCACTTCCTGAAAGCTGCTGAAGTCAATTAACATTTGCGAATCACTCAGATAATGCTGGTGAAAGCTCTAAAACACTCATGAGGAATTTATTAGTTTTTCTTTTTAGTATAATGTTGAGGTGTGATACTAAATTTTTGACAATTCATTTATTAAATGAAGCATGACCCCTGTAGAAAAAATAATGTGTGATTATGAAATGAGCACTGTATACCAGGGTATTCTCGTGGAGAAGACAAATGAATTGCCAGTGAAACTTTACACTTGAGAAATGTTGACACTGAGTGCTTGAGTTTGCTGTATTGGAAGGATGTTTATGCTACCTTTTTAGCATATTCAGAGGAGAAGGAAAGATTAAGGTTTTCTGGATAAAATATATTTACAGAAATATTTTCCTTTTGCCTGGGGTGACAACAAAATACTTGATGAGCACGTTTTGCCTTTAGGGGGGTTCCTGACCAAGAATATCATGCCTCAATTTATTCCCATTAAAATCAGTAAAATGTCTCATATTGCTTGCAGAAATGTTTGTGGTGTGTATTGCAGCAAGTATTTGGAATCCACAGTTCAGAACTGCTCTGGGCCAGTGGGATTGCAAAATATCTGTCATCTTTGGCTGACAGCCTAAGGTTGCCACAGCAATTTTTCTCGTTAATGAGTAAAATAGGTGGTGTTTATAGAAAAATAACTGTCTCATGAGAAGCTGTGCAAAAAGTTCCATTCAAAACCATTCTGTTTATATATAGTTTTGTTGTTTGTTTTCTTTTCTTTTTACTTACTACTGTGGACATGTGCATGAAAACAGGATATTTCTCCTTCACATTGCAGTCATGGACAGAATAGCCACTATGCCAAAATGGAGCCAACCCACTTCAAAAAAGTAAACTATTCTGCTCACCAAATCTGTTTCTTCTATGTATGTAAAGTTTATAGCACTTATTTTCCTACCTAAATTTAGGGAGGTTTTTTTTGCATTAGTTCTGTAAAACCAACAAACCAATATGGATATGATAAAATGATAGTGTAATAGTAAATGTTTGAGAAGATGGAATGAGTAAAATAACAATAGTATAAATAACATTTATGTTTTAGTATTCACAGTGACAGCAGAGATAAAAGTATTTTTGTTGTGTATGCTGATGTTTTTTATTTAAACAGCTTAGAAATCCTGACAAAAACTCGAGAGAGGAATAAATAGAAGAGTTAGGTCTTATTTTGGCTGATGGTGATCAATAGAATTAGTAAACAGAGCCTTCCCTTAAGGGTGGCTGTGTTTTTTCCTATGCCCAAATTTGACTTTTCCAGGCCCAATCTGAATTTAATACTGAATTTGAATTAGGAAAGATAGACTAGACATTACTTTTACACTGATAAGCAGCATATTTCTTCTGGTAGCTATAAGTTCAGCAGTGTTTTATAATGCCATTAAGATATATGTTAGGGGTCCAGTGCGTATTCAGTGCACATTAGCACCCTGTGTTCAAGTATGCCTTTACATCACCTGAGGATCTGACCTGAATGGCTTAGTCCTTGGCCCCAGGTTCATCAAGGTGCAGCTGCAAGCCCCTGATTGCCCAGATACTCGATGTCATGAATTTATTTCTCTGGCAGGAATGGGTAGGTGAGTGTGTGTGGCTTGCTTGCTGCCACATCCTCAGCACCTGTAGCCCTGGAACTAGAAATACCGGAGGCGGGAGCGGGAATGGGAGAGCAGCACCACGCAGGCACTGAAGCTGTCTGCCAGCTGCTGGACCTTCTGGAGGCTCACTTGCCCTGGGCAAGGAGACTGCAGCGGCTCCGAGCGTGCTTTTGCACTTCCTCTTCCTCTCGGCCTAGGGTGGTTCCCTGAAAACGGATACACATCTGGGCAGAGTCCCCTGGAAGAAGCCGTCCTCTGCTTGTACAACTGCAGGATTCACCATACTAATATATTCACCATACTAATAAGTGAATATTCCCTCTCTGGTTCATAAATGGAAGAGCAAGATTTCGGGATAGGTGAACCTAGTCCTCTGATTGTACAGATTTTCAGAGAAATTAGCGTGAACAGGCTTCTGCCTGCCCTGCACGGATGGTGTTTTCCAATGTCATGAGTGCCACAACTTCCCAAAGCTACCAGTAAAACTTTAAGACAGTCTTTTCTTCTTATTTATAAGTATTCCATAGTTCTGTTCTATTGTAAACAACCAGCATTTAGCTCCGAAAGCCCAATTAATGAGTAATTTCTGTATCTCCTTGCTGCCACATGACTTCATGATTTGCACATAAAAAAAAATAAATAAATAAATAGACGGCAAAATGTGCCTAAGGACTATCCTCTCAGATGTAAACCGCCTCTTTTTTGACAGGCCAGTTCATAGCACAGGAAGGGTCCTGTACAAACTGTAGAAATAGGGTGTGATCTGAAGAAATGTGGTGAAACTGAGAGCACAGCCCAAAGTCCTGCAGATTACCTTAACTGAACAAAGTTTACTTTATCCACTCTGAAAACTAACTTGCCTTAAGTGACCGTTACTCTTTGTGTGAAATAACCTTGCTTCGAGGTTGAACAGGTGAGAATTGTCCCTCAGTATCCCTTTCCTTGCGGGAATTGTTTTACAGGCTTCATCCCATGCTACAAAGTCAGGGTCTATTTGCTAAGGCTGAATACCATATGACTGTAAGTTAGCTACATCAAGACTGAAGCAGTGGAGACATCAAGGGTTACTCTGGAGGAGTTAGTTACATCTGTGCCAATTTTATGGCTGCTTCCTGCACAGTTTGACATTTGGAAACTTTTTTAGTTGTTTTTAACTTAGGCAAATAATAATGCACATTCAATTTTCCCATCCTTTTTCACACTGTCGTAGTGCTTATGCAGGATTATGGCCCAATGAAATGTTTGCAAAGTCATTCAGCATAGATCTACTGGGCAGAATTTAATTTCTTTGGTTATCTCTTGGTAGTCTTCAGTTCCCATCTAAAATGTTCAGTGGTGCTTTGGCAAACTGTTACAGATTTTAGCAGCAGGCAGATCACAGTAATAACATGCTATAATACATGAAGTAAATATATAATGGAAGAGTAAACATAAAACAAGCACGAAATACATAGTCTTGGGGGTTAACCGGGCCTGAAATTTGCATGCAGAAGCACAGTAGGTGAGCAAAGGAGTATGAGGAATGGGACATGAATTTCTTAGAGTCTTACTGCCACAAATATGTCAGTGGTGCTGAGTCAGCATGGGAAGAACGCAGTAATTTGCTGCTGATTCACAAACCAGTAGCTCACTGCTACCCTTCTGGGTGATGTGGAGGGTATTTGCCGGAAGTGCTGATGACTAACCTTTAAGAACTCCAGAGAATTCTAGCTGCTTTTCAGTGGCCCTTCAATTCATCTGTTGTGCTGTTGCATTCCAGTGACATTCCACCAAAAACAATGGCATGGCATGTACTAGTCAGCATCAGTCCAGCAGCCAAAAAATTTAAATGACACCAGTCATCTTTTCAGAAGTTTAAGTAAAAGAGTTCATTTACATTTGCGAATTCAAAAATGTGGCTTTTGCACTGTCATTGTTTGCACAACAGGTCAGTATGCATAGCAAATATATATCGTATGCACAACTGAAAATTTAACAGTGTAGTATATACTCCTTTTGTGAAGGATTTCATATATAAAATATTATTGTACTGTATTGTTCCTCCAGCATTTTTGCCCACTAAAAATCAGACTCTCTTCTGCCTTTCTTCCTCCCATCGCTGTTTATGTTTTTCTGTGTAGAACTAGATTAAGTCATTGTGTGGATGATTAATTTCCTGTTCAATTATCTCTCTTCCTGACCTCCAACCCTTCTCTGGTTTTATTGCCAGCTCACGGATGCTATGACTGTAGGATTGTGCTAACTGACCCCTCTGGAGTTTTCACTTCTCCGTGCTACCCCAGTGATTATCCCAACAGCCAAGCATGCAAATGGATCATCCGAGCACCTCATGGATTCATCATACAGCTAACATTCATCGATTTTGACATTGAAGAAGCTCCAGGCTGTATTTATGATTCACTAACATTAGACAACGGAGAGAGCCCGATGAACCTTTGTGGCATCACTGCCAAAGGGTTATCATATAATTCTACTGGAAATGAAATGATTGTGTCTTTTAAAAGTGACTTTAGTATCCAAAAGAAAGGTTTTAATGCCAGCTATGTGCGAAGTAAGTAAACCTAAAACGTTTCATCCCTCTCACAGCTAAAATGTCCTGTTGGAAGGAAATTTCCTGTAAGGATTGGAATGATACTTTCTGAAGGAACCAGAAGTGTTCCGTGAGAATGGAAGGGGGAGACAGGAGGTGAAGAGAGTGCAGGATAAAACAATAGAGTGTTCTTGAGTATATTTTTAACTAATTCCTTTTTGTGTGGACGAAAATAAGTTATTTTATTCTGGAAAATGACATCCTCAAGTGTATTAGAAAAACATTTAATGTGCAAAGATTTTAGGCCTAACAGTGCCTCTTTCTGCAAATTTATGCTGGATGGCTTAGAAGCAGGACACCTCTCCTGCATGCCTGCCTATCTGCAGGACGTAGAAACGTGGAGGAGAGCAGCAAAGGGAACTTAGTCAAGCCAGAAATAAGGCCGGCCCAGACCTCTGGCCCAGTGAAACTCCCTACAGTGGGGAAAGTTTTATGCAAAAGGCAGAACTTTCTCAGGGCTTCTTCTAGCCTCTAGAATAAAATCTCCCAGGGATAAAGTATCACTGCAAACCTGCTGTCATTCATTCATGTTCCTTGACCTTTCTTTCTCTTCCATAAATGTATATCAATGCTTAGATTTTAAAAAGCCAATGCTTAGATTTTAAAAAGCCTAACAGCTGCTAAACAAGACACTCTTCTGCCCATAGCTTCTCCACTGGGAGAAGATGAGACTACAAATAACTTGAATAACTTGCTGCTTAAGGCATTACCAGAAGTTGCTTGGACAAGATGGTAAAGAACTGCAGTGTAATGGGGGAAATTAGGATGATCCTTTGCAGGCCCCATATGTTACTCTCCATTCATTCTGCTTGAGGATTATAGTTTGCAATTGCATGTTCTCAGTAGGCTTCCTTTTTGTTGAAGTCATACACATGAACTTGGATGCTAGTACTGTATTAATCTTTTATATACGTATAGCACACTTAACGTTGGTTAGGTAGGTGCTGTACAAACACAGAACAAGCAGGTTTACAATTACCTCTTCAGCCACAAACACATCTTTCTCATGAAAAAACGTTATTTAAATATTTATTAAATATATACTATTATTTAAAATAAATAATTAAAATAATAAGCCCCAGGAATCATGAGAAAAAATTAGCTCTGATTATGCAAACAAAATTTGTGTGCAGTTCTGTAAGAAAAATGGTAATACCATATCAGGGGAGTTAAAAATGTTTCTTTCCACTGAGACCCTTCACTGTTGACGTAATGAGTTTAGTAATAATTCTTGGAGCACTAGTTCTTTTCTGGAGGGGAAAATAAATTTTCTGAAAGCTTTCTGTGTTTAAAGATAGCAGCTCCTGCTGTACTGTAAAAAATCGTGTAGATCATAAAAAATTCAAATCAGATTATGCAAAATTATTTATTTTGTTATTCCTCTTTAATATGTTAATGTTTGGGTATGAGTATAAGCAATAAGATGACTTTCAATAGGAATCGAAAGATGCAATATTACCTTCAGATATGTTCAATGAGAAGGAGAGGAGGGGGCTACAGATATGGTTAGACAATCATTTGTGTATATATACTTACCGATGACGTATTTTTATGAAAGTAAAGATAAGTTGCCTCCATGCCAAGTTGATTAGTACATTACCTTCATGGATAGCACCACTACAGTTAAATAGTCTTGGAAGATATTCTTAAATATTGAATAAGAAGGCTACTGTCCAGTGTGAGTAAAGGTACTGGTGACCTTCACCAGTGACTTATATTTTAGTGTTTCATATACGTATTCATTCAGTCACTCCATGTTAAGGCTTGCTGTTAGGCTCGCTAGACTAAGGCTGCTGACTTTTGTTTCATTGCTACAAATCTTAACTCTTACCTAACATCTTGGTTTTGACCTTGGATGCCAGAAGAGCTGGCTGCATGCATCCAAAAACAAATTATAACCACAGGCCATATTCTGCTTATCGCCCACAGTTGTGCAATTAAACTGAGTTCCGCAGATAGTCACAAACAAAGATCATGGCAATGTTTAACCTGGCAATGGATACAGAAATGCAGTTAGGGAAAGGGCTGATAGTGTACTGCTTTCCTTTCGTGAAAAGCAAATTATAGAAGTATGTAGACAGGAGAACATCAACGCGCACACACACAAATTACCAGACATCTGCATGGTGGATGTCAGCCCTGCACTCTCTTGTCCTTACTTACAAAGAATTCCCAAAGCTATTAGAGAGAAATCCACACCCATTCACTTCAGGCAGGTGAAATAGCATAATCCAAGGATTTTCAAAGCTCCATTGTCAAACTGAAACCATTATTATTATTATTACCAACATGATGCATAGGCAAAATCATGAATTTCTCCTAGAGAGGGGGGGACTGTAATCCTGTCTTACGCTTACAGTACTCATATTTTCTTTCACTTCTCAGCGATGATTTTATGTAAATAATAAGATTAAGTAGTTGGTCTGATTTTGAGTTTGACAAAGTGATACAAATTTGGAATGTTAAGGACTGTTTGAAGACTCAAACAGTCTGGTGTCGGCAGTTTGCTATCTGCAAGTGGCATTTAAAAAGGCAGTAGTAGTACAGCTTAATACGCAGTATGTACACAAGGCAAAATATATGTGGGGAAAAGCAAGTATAAATGAGTAAATGAGTTTGGGGAGGGGACTGACTGAGAATAGAACAGCTTTTGTGTGGCTGCTGGGTTTTATGTAACAGTGATTTAAAGAGGAGGTTCGTGCAGCACTCCCTGTTACCCGTAACAAGTTGGCTGCCTGCAGAAATGCTGGCTCTCCTGGTTGTTACCTGCTGCAACGCACCAAGAGCAGATGCCATATCTTCCGCTGCAGTGAATGAATGCAACTGTGCTAGCCTCCGTGGAATGCATCGACTTACACCAGCTGAAGAGCTGGCGCGTTAAGTAATTTTTGAGTAATAGTTAAATTTGTAAGTAATAGCTCCACTGGCGAGTAGAAGCTACTCAATCACCAGAGGAGCAAAAGGAGAGCCAACAGACCTCTGTTCATACAGAAATGCTTGAGACAATGTGTCATGTAAAAACTAGCACACAAATGAATAGTACTGCCATATCCCGAACTGAAAGCACAGTTCAGTGCAGTATTAACAAAACCTTTCAAGTAGGCATTTGGTGTGTAGACACTTGCCGACCTCATTAAAGTTGGTGCCTTTCCTCCAGCAACGCAGAAGGGGCAGCTGAAAGTAGTGAAGTTAGAAACAGTGGAAGCCACCGCTCAAGGCACTGAACCATGTTGAAAAGCTGTCAAAGGGCAGGAAAGCAGGTTTCCCCACAAATGATTGTAAAACATGGTCTAGCTACTCCTTGTTGGCTTCTGTGTAAAGAAGCGTATGTAACGTGAAACAGCGAGCTGAAAGGGGGACACATAAGGTAAGGGCTCTAAAAAGAAGAAGCAGAGGCAGACTTCCTGTCATCACAGTACTACCGTAAAAGCAGAAGTAGATTTCAGAACAATAAACTGCCTATTGCTGGTTGCCCCTTCTGTGTCCAGGCTAACAAGACTTTTGTACATTTTTGATGAGTAAATAGCAGTGTGTCCGAAAGAACCCTTGTCTGTTACAGCCTAGTTATCTTCCTAAAAAAAGCAGTTTAACATAATCCTGACTATAGTCTAACCACTTGGATGAGTAGACCAAGGATATATGTATATCCTGCCTTAGAGAACAACCAGTTTCTCAAGTGTTATCATCTGATGTTCATCAGCATGATGACTGGCTGTGTAACAATAATGAGGGCAGAAATCCTCTCTTAATATCAATGGCAGGATTCTGTTTTCTCCACATGTGCAAAATACTTGTCAGTTTTGTCCTGCTACTGCATGGGGAGGGTTCCAGTATTTAAATCTGTCAGAGGAGTGCTGCAAAGTTAAGTAGGCTTGCTCAGGATCAAAGCAATACTCTCATTGTTTGCTTCTCTTCTTATACTGTTTAAATACGACCAGGTGTTCCATAACCTTCCTGACCACCCTAACACAGGCTGCGTGGTGCTTGTATGAACAAGCTTTCTTCTTTTTCGGCTCCTAAGTCCTTATACTTCTGGCACATTTTGGATCATCTTCTGTGTTACATAAAGGACCTTACCGTATAATTAACCCATGAAAAAATGCCCTTCTTTTTAATGGAAAGTTTAACGCATCTTCTATCTATAAAATTATTACCACATACTTTTGCCCTTGGGAAAGAAAAAAGTCTGTGAAGTAAATCCAGTAACTATGAAAGTTCAGTATTTCTCTGTCTTCCCTCCAGTTCTCCAGTTGCTGGATTTGCAAATAATGGGCAATGCTTTGTGTTATTTTATTGTATAATACATTGGTCCAGTTATTTCCTTGTCTGTATCCAAATGTGGTAGTTTGGAGCTCAGAGTCTTTGCAAACAGTTGGCAAAAGGAAAAGGTAATAGCACAGAATATGTAGCATTCTTATAGTTCATACATCTATTCTTTTCCTAAACATGGCATGACAGACACCCTAGATTTAGGATGGTTTATTTCATTATGAGAAGAGAGCAGGTATGACAATTATTATATGTGCCATGGTATCACTTAAGATTCCAACAGAGACCAGGCTTTTACTGTGGCAGTTATTTTTCAGGCCTAGCTAAGAACACTTTCTGTTCCAAAGTTTTCGCTGTCAAAGAATATGAGAGAGGAAGCAGACATTCATTGAAGATTTAGTCTGCCACAGAACCATAGAGCCAGAAGTAAAGCCAAGATCTGCTGAAACCTTGTCACCCTAGATGAGACTTTGTGTCACTCTACCTCTTGATACCATTAATGTACTCATGGAGAAAAAACTGAAGTCATGCAATGCTGTTTTCTGTATTTAGTGACTGTCATTTTTCCAGTGCAAATGAGAATAGCAAATAATGATTGGAAATGGAGTAATTGTGCCAATGCATAAATACCTTTACTGCAATGTATGTTTGGAAGAAGACTAGCCATTTCTAGATACTTGTGCAAAATCCGAAACTGCTCGCTTGCAAATAGTGAAGAGCTTGGATATGAATATTCATGAACACACGATTGCAGTATTCAACTAGAAGGCTGCTGGGGATAAAATGAAAAGATGCCTAGTGCTTTGCAGAATCCCATTAGCTAAATTCAGGAACAAAAGGCTTCAGTTTGCCAAGGAATGTAACTGAGGCTTTCTTCTATTGCGATACTTAAAAGATGCAAGGCATGAACTTCATTGGTGTAATGCAGTTCATGCAGTAATTAAAATAATAGATCATAAAAGCAAGTCAAATTATATTTTTCAAATAGCTGGTACTGCAGTGCCTAATGCACCCTTACTAGATGAGTGAACAGTAATTTTATAAATGCTCTGTTGATTAAAATGAGTTGAGGCATATTTGGAAGTTAGTAGTAGGTAATATTTCCTAATATTGCTCCAAATGCAACTGCTGTTCAAAAGCTATTCAACTTTTTTAGTTGAATGCACTCCCAAGCTAAGTCCCCCTCAGTGTGTGCTATTGGTTTATTGCAGTGATAAAAAAACACCTAATGAATGTTTGATTCAATGATACTTTAGTCCTTGTCATTAAACTTTTGACAGTCTGCCTTTTTTTCTGTATGATGGGGTTTTTTTTTAATTGTTTATCTGCTCTTTGTTCTAGTTGCTGTGTCTCTGAGGAATCAGAAAGTCATCATTCCCCAGGTGCCTGATGTTGACACCGCGTCTGTGGCAGATACTGTGTCAATACCAGAGCTTAGCCAGTTTACGCTGTGCTTTGAAGCAACCAAGGGCAGCAGCGATGACAATGATGACTGGAAGGTTTTCTCCTACAGTAACGCCTTGTCGACAGAGTTCTTCAGCTTTGGAAAGACCACAAAAGGCCATTTTCTGTCCATCTCAGGCATTGAATGCATACTTGAGAATGCACTGCCCCGAAGCGCAGAGTTTTTCACAGGAGCCTTTGAACAGCTTTGTGTTGTAGGGGATAGCTTCTCCGGCAGTATAGGTGTATATGCCAAAAGCATCTATCATACAATATACTGTCCGGGTATCTTTGGCAAAGTTATCCCTGGAAATGGGAGACTGGTGCTGGGTTCTAACAGCAATGAAATAAGCTCTCTAAATGGGGACATTTACAACTTCCGCCTTTGGAATTTCACCATGAATGCGCAAGCACTGGCCAACCTCAGCTGTGATGTGAAAGGAAACATTGTCGACTGGGAAAATGAATTCTGGAGTATTCCAACTTCAGCACTGAAAGCCGAAAACAATTTAAGTTGTGGTGAGTATGTCTTGCCAAATCTTTTTTGCTTATTTTCCCCCCACACTTCTGCATTGTGCTGAAAATATCATATACCAGCTAAGAAAAAGAAAAAGTACCTTTCTTAAATTTTACTTCAACTCTTACCATACACAGAGGCTTTGAAAGAGGATAATGTTGATTCCCTGAAGGAAAAAAAAAATCCCTCAAATATATTGAGTTGCTGGTTGAAGTAATTCACAGATAAAAGTTCTTGCTAAACAGTTTGTTTATTAGCATTCTGCTCATATGCAATGAGGGTCACAGGCAAGTCCCTGCTAACCTCGAGTTACTCTGCAGTGATCTCTGGAGAAAAAATTTACTTGGACTAATCATTGAGTGAATGTTTTTGTATCTGCCCTTTGGCCCTTTGATTAAGGAGCCCCTCTTAGCATTGTGCTGTGTACACAGAGAGCCAGTAAAAGCAGATGCAAAACAGTAAGGCATACATAACAGAAAAGTATGAGGAAAGATTAAATTAGAGGAGGCAGATAGGAAGGAAAAGTTTTAGATCAAAATTTTTTTTATCCTTCCATTGACACATTTTCAGCCCTTCTTTAAGTTGTTAACTATTGAAAGTCTTTCTCCCTGTAGATTACTCGAGAAGGTAAATTCTAATACGTAGTCCAACCTATTCTTATTCCATGATTCAGACACTTGTTGATTCTCAAACGTGCCCAGGAATAATTTTTCTATGTATGTGTTACACGTGGTTGAAATTTTTCTCCTGGAAATGTTTGCTGTTACAAATTAACCAAAATTGAAAAAATCTTTGTCAGTTTGAACCAGTCTTTTATTTAAAAAAAATGGAAAGAACAGTTTTGCTTAAATAAAACTTTAGAGATATTTGGATACTTTTAAAATGCGTAACAGAAAACGTGAATCATGGCCAGCAGTAGCCTATTCCCTGGACGTAAGATGTCAGTGAAAATCTACTCCTGCAGAACTCCATGTCCACAGAGCTTGCGCCTCTCTGGGGTAGCAAACATAATTACAAATACTGGTTCTTTCTGAACCACATGGGGTCTCTCAGTATCTAATGTTGTCCTCCCCCACTTTGCCGTCTTGCTCCCCTAACACATTCTTTTTTTTAAACCATAGTTTAAATGCAAACCTCTCCTCACAGGGCATCTGTCAGAGTTCTGGGAATCCTCAGCTTAAAGCAGAAGCTAGCATGATTAAGGCCTGCTAGTTGCTGTGTCTAATGGCTTGTGAGGGAATAAGGTGGCTAACAATATATCCTACTTGCTTTAGTTTGCTGAAACCAAAGCGTGAGATCTTCATTCACAGCTGCACTGACTGGGACAGCTCTCAGCATGCCTGTGATAAAAGATTTAAGCAATACCTATATAAAAGCATGAGCAGCTAGATGCTTTAAACCCATCTACCAGGACAAACAAAAGACTAATGTAAACATTAATCATGACTGACGAGGGCATTCTGAGCACAAAAGTTGCTTTTCCATCCATATGGACTGACCTAACAGAAAGTACTTAATGTCCCAGAAAATATTACTTCTTTTACACCATTAGGCCATCAAGATTACCACAACACTCTTACTGAACAATTAGGCAACACATCTGCAAATGTTGTGGCCTCATCTGATTTTACATGAAGTACCTTGTCCTTGCTTTCTAATAAAAACTATACAGCCCTGTGGAACAACAGTAATATCATTGCTATGTTCATAGAAATAATATACTCATTTGTTTTACTACAACACAGCTTTATTCTTTGTGATGTCATTGTTTAGTGGTTTCGTTACAGCAAAACATTATTTTGGAAAATGTATGTCAGCATTACTATATTAGCAAGAACATAGGCCCAGGTGTTCATACATGCTGCCTCATATCTTTCTATATGTAAGCGTTGTTATTTCCTGTAACGAAGCCTGGGAGAAGATTTTTGCTCCCTAGTCAGTCATTTTCTTCCAAGGTTGTTAAATCAGCACTGTGATGCAGGCTTTCCCTAACCAGAAAACACTGGGTGCGATACCATTTCAAAAATTGTTACCAAGCCAAGAGATTAAATTGTTAGATTTTTCTTCCCTTCATCTTCCTGGATAAAAGCCTTCATTGTAAAACCAACCTTTGCCATGGAAGCTGATGAGTCAGAGTATCAATGATGAATAAACCACTGACAGCGGTGAGATTACTCTAACTGATTAGGCTTCGTTTAGCCGCAATGGAAGGATTTATTTAGAAAAGAGATATTCACTCGGTTCCAATAATGCTTTCCTAGGAAGCTGCATGGAACTTAAAAAAAAAAAAAAAACAAGAAGCAAGCTTTTAGCAGTGAACTGAACATATTTGGATTTGAACAACTCCTGCGTTTTTTAAGGCCTATTATATTCATGATTTTTCAGATAAAGCTTTTACAAGTAGACATACTGAGCATAAAAACACTGGCAAATTGTTCCAGATAATCTTTTCATAGTTTTACCTTCTCATTTATTCCTTAGACTCATGTTTTTACAGCTGTGCAATCATGGTGGGGTGTTTCTGGAAGACTTGATGGAATTTTGTTTTTATTGCTGTACCTTAGCACTACTTGCGTTTAAAGGTATCTCTGTACACTGCAGTATTCACAGCCTGGGTAGACATATCCAAACCAGTTTTAAAAGAAGCAGGTTAGATAGCGATAGCAGAGTAGCCCCAGCACTACAGAGCTCAGTGCAGACAAACTGATTAGTGTTTAATCATTTTTGTGTGTGGATTTTGGAGCCGGCCATGGCTACACGTGTAGCAGGATATGACCTACTCAGTTTAAGGCTAGCTTGCATGTACGTCTGGTCGCGACTGTAATCACAGCATTTACTTCATGTACACTCCGTTCGAGTCCTTCATTCCCAGCGAGTGGCATAGTCCTTAATTTCACTGGCAAATTTAACTTGGGATCTGGCTGTCCTTAGGCAGCTGAAGGATAGAAGTTCGGGGCTGAGCTAATTACCCTCAACGCTCTTTATGATTAGCGGAGTGAAAAAGGCTTTTCCAAAGGTCAGTTCATCCCACACTGGAACAGATGTCTCAGCTAACTCGTGGTTTATGCTCTAGGAGCGCCTCTTTCTCTCCACCGACTAAAAAGAATGTCTAGTATGACAAGTGCAGGTTTGGATGTCTGAGTTTTAGACGTCTGAAGTATCACACACAGTATCCATAATACAGCAGGTCCTTATCTGCTGTTCACATAACTTGGCTTCACCAGGTGGCTTTTGTCAAGTATATGAACAGTTTTGAGATACTTATCTGCTATTGATAGAAGTACTTGTTTGCATCCAGATCGTTATGCTTTCTTTAGTGCGCACTGAAGAAAAGTCTGGTCTGGCTGAAATTCAACCTGATTAAGACTGAAAAAAAAAGTTATTTAATATATTGACTGAAAATATTCCTCTTTAAAGGGTACAGTCTTCTGACTTACGTGTAAATATAAATATGAGAATTATGTCAAAAGTGTTTTTTTTAAATTTAACCAACAAAATAATGATTTTTTTAAATGCTTACTGAAGAAAATATGATGATCTGGAGATTTTTCTGATGATCTTTCACTGATACAGAAGCAAGAGGAGCACGAATGTACAGCAGGTTTTGATATTGACTGTTTAATATTGGGAAATATATTTTGGAAAAAAAAATATCTCACCCTTGAGGTAGTGTATTCACTTAGAAGAAGCTTCCTGGAGTTTACTTTTATAGAAATAAATAAATGTAACAAGGAAATGGCTAATATAATTTTCCTGCGTCTCTTAAACCATTAAGAGAAACCTCTGAGCTTTAACATCAGTAGAGGATCACACATTTTGAATTCTGCCTTATATTCAGTCAGCAATGCTTGTAATAATAACTGTGGTGTGACATGACTGCTGAGTTCAGGCCCCAGGCTTCATCTGTGCTTGCATCTCAGGAAATATTTTCATTGCTATCCTGACAAACTGCTGGGTGATGGCTCTTTAATTTTACAGAAAGATTCGATGTTTCATGAGAAAACCTCATTGAACTAATAGAATTTTGAAGTGGTGAAACTAGAGCCAAAAGAGCAACAGTCCCAGTAGATTCAGATTATGCCATACTGTATGGCCTCATTATTTTCAATATAATGTGCAAAAGCAGCTGTATGTGCAGCTGAACAACTGGGATATACAAAGTGTAATTAATGCAGTTTCATGAGTTCTTTCTATGTTCTATCCATTCTTATGGATATATATATTTTTATATATAATATAAATATATATATATATATGCTATGTTATATACCATTCTTATATCCATTATTTTGTTTCTAAATCACCAAAATGCGTGCATGTAGTTATGAATAATTCAATAAGGATACAGACTTATAACATTATCTGTTTATTAATCATGCATACCAGAATATTAATCAGGCCCACGCCCTGGGCACAGGAGCAAATTTAATCACTATTTATCTCCTTGGCGTCTATCACAAGGCAGGTTTCTCAGAACTGTTCAGCGGGCAGCCTGTACTGCAACAGCAGAGCGTGATTACTTCTTCAAGGTGCCGTAGCATTATTCGTGAAGATTTTGTAAATTCTACAGCCATACCGACCCCTCCATTTAAAGCCATTTCATGGAATATACACAAGCAGCACACACTTAGTGAGATGTTACTTAACCAAAGCTGTGGAGGATCCAAAAAAACCAGCAAAGGGCATATAAATGAATGCAACTGGCAAGTCTTCTGATCGCTCAGCAGCATCAGAAAGTGAAAATACTTAAGAACAATTCTTATGAGCAAAATGGCATTACCAGTTTTGCAAGAGAGAAATCAGGAGAAGGATTATGTCACTGCAAGATGTAATGTATTTTGAGCATAATGGTATTATGTCCAGTAGCCAAACCTCTCTAATTATCTGACTTTCTTATTCTTAAGGCTCATACCTAATTCCCTCTTCTACGATTGAACCAACAAGTTGTGCAAACCTGGGAAGCCTTTGCCAAGGTAAGAATCCCAGGTCATTTTCACAGTTGCATCTTTATTAAATCTTTATTTTCTTTGATTTTATTTTGATTCCATTTATTTTTTTTTCTTTCTAAAAGACTGAACTGTAAAAAAGAAGAGCAATTCCTTACCCTCATCAGATATGTGGGTGTCTTGTATGTGCAATATATGGAAAGAATGTGATCATTCTCTTGATAATATATTTTCCAAATAGTCTCCGTTATATCAAAACTGAGTTAGTTGACTGGTTTCATTTCTTTCTCTGCCTCTTTACTTTTTGCACATTTTAAGAGTAAATTATTAATCAGGATAGGAAGTGGGTACATCTGCAAATAAAAAAAGAGCAGATGTAAATAAAGGAACTGAATATTATCCCAATTTCTTCCCACAGACTGTTGTGAGGCTTAGTACTTGGAGATTATCAGGTAAAAAGTTATGATCAAAATGCAAAATCTAGCAGATATTAGTTAATAAAACACTTATTGCAGCATTTAGTGGTGGTTTAATAGTGTTACGATCACCACGTGTAGCAACTCGTTAGGTCTCCTGAAACGTCATCTCATCTGAATGCAAGGAATTGGTGAACCCTAAAGATTTCCATGCCGTGTGAATCATTGGACATGCAAGGGTAGTTAATTCCTTCATCTCTGTTTAGAGGCTTAGGTTCTACAAAAATGTCCCGCGTGAACATTATCTGCCCATTTGCTCAGAGCATTCATGAACACAGACCCTGCTGATGAGGTGACATGCTATGCTGAACTTTAATCACAGCAGCAGCTGCACCAAAATAATGTCAAGTTCTGTAACCCTTTTTAAGCTGAGCAGTAGAAAAGAGAGACAGGAAAGAGAGAAAAAGGGGAGGGGGAGGAGGAAACACTTTCTAAATCAACATTTGCAAGTAAATCAGATTTAGCTTAAAAATAAAAAGCAAAATGCACTCCTGTTGGGAAGCCAAGTTTCAAAATAGTTTTCCGTGTACTTTTCCCAGATGTTCCTGAGGTGAATTTGTTCAGGGTCCTGGAGCGTATTGTACTGTTGTCCATAGGGAAAGTAAAATGCCGGTTATCTTCATAATCCAATGTCAAACAGCAGCTTTCAGACGTCAGACTGACAAAATGTAATGCAGTCCAAATACTGGCACTAGTAAGCCTGGGTAAATATGACAGCAACCGTCATTCAGTATTAGTCCTTTCTACAGAAAAGATAATACAGCCACCATCTAGAGATGCTTCTCTATACTCTTGGAAGAACTCCAAGAGATTTCTTCTGTCAGAATGGCATGGTGTGCAAAGAGAGAGAATATCTTTCAATACATCAACTGATATGGCTGCAAAAATGGACACCCTTTTCCGACAAGCAGGCCCATTTTCCTAAAAGCCTTTTCCTTTTTTCTAGCTTTGTTAACCTGTCTCGTAGAAGGTATTACTTCTAATGAAAGATGCTACCTTTCAAACTTGTCTTTTTTAGATCCTTAGACCATCACATCTTCAATAAACACTGCGAGTACTTTCACTGGGGTAATACTAATGTTTCCTGACATGCCTACCTTCTCTGCAAAGGGATTGGCAGAATGTCACTGCTGTGTTGTGTTTGTTACTTGGAAAGTGGCAGATCAGCCCAGTTCATTGTCATCATCATTGTTGTAATCATGAAAATCATAAAAAGATACCTATCTGTCTATTTCTGTCAGCGCTGCAGACTTACTTTAATCTGAAAAGTCAGTTTGGATTCTTTTTTTTGTTTGTGTTGTGCAGTCGCACCGGTAACAAAGGTCTGGATGCCAGATAATTTGTCAGCTACAGTCTGATGCAAGTATCTGTTTACTTTATCATGCTTATGTTTAGGAACTGAACGTTAGTAAATATTTTCATTCATTGAAAGATACCTCCTTTAACAGTGTTGATTGGAAGATAAAATGAGTAAGAAGGCTTAAAACTTGTTTCTCAAAGCGTATAGCCCTGAACTTAATGGAGGAAGAGCTTTTTTTATATTATAGGGTGTCATGCTCACTTTCCTGGTTAGAGCCCCTGTTTGCTACAGCCTCCAAATCCTCCCTCTCTTTCTCTAGGCGTTTTGTCTCACTGAAACCTGAACGTGAGCCCACTGCCTAAGCTGAGACTTGAGTTTATAACTTTTAAACTCAGAGGCTAGAGCGCTACAAACCAAATTAAGCTAAGCTATTAATGCCTTAAAGTACCAGAGGAACCTGCGTAGAGATTTGTTCATTTGTACTGCCATTTTGCTCAATGTTTCCCTTCCTCCAGGCACTCTGCTAAGTAAGACATTACTTGGTCCTCCGACCAAAACAACGTTCATCAAAGTATTAACCCTTGACTACAATGTTCAAGCCGTTCCATAAGCAGACTGATAGTGGAACTGAAGAACAGTGTCAGCTGTCGTGCCTAGCTGTCTTTCCTGTCACGATATGTTTAACTTCTCTTTCACATTTTCATACTTCTCTCATTGCAAGTACTTACTTCCAAGGAATAAACTGAAACTTAGCTCATGAACAGTAACAGAGAAAGTAGGCTTTTAATTTACAGGATTCTTCATCTGATCTTCATGGGTTACGAGGGAGGGAATTCGGTACACTAGTAGGACCCCCTGTATTTTATGAACATTACCTGCTCCATATATCATGTATATAAGTATTATCACTTGATTATAATTGCTGCTGAGCACTATCTTTGGCAGTTTGCTATCATCAAAACATAAAATAGATTAGAAAAAAAGAAATTTGTTTGCAAAGGCAATTTTTTTAATGACAAAGAACGAAAGTGTTTTTGAAATGGGATACAGACTTTCACTCTCCATAGGCATATTTCCCATAGTCTTTCCCAATTCTGCTCCTTTTGCCAAACTGGCTGATGTAGTCCTCTTTTTTTTGTAATTTATGTTAATGGCTAAAAACGCACAAGCTATTGAAATATAATGTTGAATATTCAAAAACTAAATCATTCTGCAGTTTTGCTATATAAAACATAAATAGAAAGCAAAGATAAATAGATCTATTCTCGTTCCCTTCTCCTCCCCCAGAAAATAGAACGTTCATAACTAAAATGACCTCACAAAAATCAAAAATGCAATTTCTTACTTAAAATACAATTTCTTAACCCTTCTGATTTGGTTCTTGGCCAAAATCTGCAAAGGACACGTAACATTGTAAGACTATCCTGCACCAATCTTCACACTGTAAAAAGAGTTTTCAGGAAAAAAGAAATCTGTCAGTCAGTGGACTTATGTTCCCTGGGAGTTACTGAATGAAATTAATATTTTTTCCAATTTATTATTTGAAAATTTAGTGGCATGATCTGTGAATTGTTTCCTTCCTCTGGAGTGTGTACCCTCCCACTCTGCTGTAAGGGGAATTTGCAATTTTGTTTCTTCACACTGTATTCAAAAAGCATTCTAGCTAGTTCTGGGAAACATTTTCCAGTGTTGTGTGGGATGACTGCTGTTAGTGTCAATGGGAACAGTACAGCTGAAATCCTACATGAAACTTTTGAAATATATCCACTCCAGTTATTCCAAGTCTGATTTTAATTCTCTTCATTATGTGAAGTTCCGTGGAGTTAATTAGATCCTTACATGGGTGGAGTTAATTAGATCCTTACATGGGTGTTTTAGTTTCACATTATTTTTTTTATCTTCAGTTCCTGAGTAGGGACAATTATTCTTTTCAGAAGCAAATATTCTAAGCGCATGCATCTTAGAATTTATGAGATCTATTTTCTGGCCTTTGCCACAGCTGTTGGATCTGACGCTCTCATAAGAGGATTCAGAATTTATGAAAGCAGTACAGGACTGATCTTGCAACCCCTACACTGGCAATACTCCCATTGAAGTCAGCGACAGTGAAGTTGCAGGATTGAGACCTCAGTTCATATCCATTCATCGCTTTGTACAGAAAAAAATGCGTGTTTTTTTAACATGTATGGCATTATATGTAGAAGGTTGCATTTTACGTTGTCATGCGTTGTTCCCATTTTGTCTTACCTCATTAACATTCATATTTCATTCAAGTTCACCTCTTTCTCATCTTTGTTACCAGCTACTGTAAATGCTACTACTCCTACACCACCCATTGTCACCACTAACATGCCCGATACTAATAGAACCGATAAGCCAAACAATGGTAAGAAATCCTGTGTTACATTTTTCCTTGTACTGTGTCTAGAGCAAATGTATTGTATTTTAAGGTGTGTTTTTCATAGTTTCATAATGTTGAGGGTCATGCCTCAGTTCTGATCTCATTTACGCTGAAAAAAATCAGGAGTAACTTCACTGGACTAGCCCATGTGAGAATGGTATAAATGAGAACAGAATTAAACTCAGTGTATGTTTGTATCATGTTTGCCTAGTTCTTGTCTGAAAGGCATTCACTTTGTGTCACCAATTCCATTTACCCATGCAAAGAACCAGGGAAAGGATAAGTATTTTTTAGAAGAGATTGAGAAGGATCATGCTTTTGAAATGTTTTATCACTGCAGATTATTAGGCATCGTGTAGCTACCGCGTGTACAGCCAGGGCAGTAGTGCTTTGGGATTGTCTGTTCCCCACTGGTAACTTTCAGAAGCCAAGTGGCATCATTCCTATGGAGCAAAACCACTTCCACTGAGTCAACAGGAATCTTTCCACTGACTTCAAGAAGAGCTGGATCAGACTTTACTAGGGAAAATGTTGAGAGTATCAGATATAATTTACTTTTCATTTAGAAAGATTAAGGGAAAAAATAAGGCAGTAAGTGAGCCTATTATTAGCAGAGAAAAAAAGCAAGGATTTCTTTTAAGGTTTTCTCAAATTCTATGATATCACTGTCTCCCAGAGTCTGAGCATCATTTTGTGAGGAGCTACTAAATATTTATTATTGTGTTGAAGATAGTTGTTAAGCATTAATAATAATATGGAAACAATTAGTTTTCTGCTGTTTTCACTTGAGGCTCAAGTATCTTTTTAGGAAAGATTTATACAGAAGTATATTAGCATCCTTTTTTTTTTTTTTAATGCCTCAGTTGATACTGTAGGTTTTAAAATTCTTGGAGTGCCTTTTCTCTTGGCAAATCATTTCTTGTATATTGGCAATCAGGCAATACAGTAGAGAATGTGAAAGAATGTATCTGAATTCATCCTGTTTGGATTTACTGAGCAGTACAAGTAAGAAAATACTGATGCTTCCTCCCAAACTGTGTGGAGGGGTTTCTGTTTCTGGAGCTGCTTGCTCCGTGCTCACCATGAAAAGTTCAGTAGACCCATCTGTGTTTTTCATAGCTAGAAAAGGAATTTAATGCCCTGTTAATGTTAGTAGGAGTAAAAACTGAAAGCAGAAAGACTAAGCAAAGTAGCCCAAATTCATTTACAGTAGAAGTAAGTGAAACTTTCACTGAGCTAACAGGCATGATCTTCCACAGACAGCAAGTTGATTTTTAGATCGAGAACAGACAGCCAAGAACAGAATTAGGTTGCATATATTTTCTTTAATTCATTAACTCTATGGCTTACTACACACAGAGCTGCAGGAACTCAGACTTCCTGCTACAGTTATCTTCAGAATGAAGAGAAATTCACCTGAATCCTCCCATTCACGACTGCAAGGGCAGCAAGAGTCTAAGATAGAAGGGGTCAAAACCATAGGAATTATCTCAACCCCAATTATTTGGCCAGTGAAACAAAGGCCTCTCCATTTCAGTAAAAACGCAGCAAATGAGAATCAAAACCCAGGGAGAAAAAACATGTACAGTGTGTTTCTTCTATCTGAGTCCACATCAGTTGCTTCTGAGGAGACTGGCAAGGGTACCTTGGAGGATTTCACAGAAAAAATGCATCTAGATAATACTGCGATGAATCGTTTACCCAGTACAAATATTATGAATGATTCTAGAAGTTTATTCCGTGACATATATGATGCAGCAGAAGTTGTTACAGATCGTTCTGAGAATGCAGCCGTTCCTCTTCTTCAAAATAGAAGTGCTGTTGCAGAGCTAGCATGGACTTCGGCATATGGATTAGATTATTCTGCGTCTGAGTCAGCATTCCATTTTTCCATTAGCAGAATCACCACTGATGAACACAGAAAAGAAACCCTGGGGACTTCGTCCTCCAGCAGCGGCACATCCAGTGTCATGCACATAAATGGTATCTTTGAACCTGAGAGTTGGTGGAGTGAGACTGTATTTCACCATCATATCACCTCTGACATTCAAGAAGAAAGCCACCATTCTCTCCCTAGCTTACCTATGTCACCTACAGAGGATGAATCATCATTTCAAAAAAGTAGACTAGATTTTCTAGAATTTGCCTCTCAGAATGTTTATCTGGAAATAACAGAAGGCAATGCCAATAAGAAATCTTTTTCTGTGTTACCAGCAAACAGTGAATTTCAGTTCACAAAATCTAGGTACAATAAGGAACATCACTCAGGAGGTGTTACAGATTTAACCTCTGTGGAGACTGCATATGCAAACTCAACAATTGTTTTTGAAAATATAAAAAGAACATATACACAAATTATGCCTGACATCCAGCAAACAGATGACTATTTATTCCAAGGATACAGTAGAGAACCACCAACATTTTCATCACTCCTGGTAGGAACAAGCTGGGCAAGTTCAAAATTCGAGCATATTGTAACTACACTGCCTATTTATCAACAGCCGTTGAGTGACATACACTGGAAAAGTGACAGCATAATTATATCTAATAGTAATCACTGGCCCCATTATTTGAAACCTTCAGGATATGTTCATAAGAAACCAAGTGAGACCCTGGGAAATGGAGATCTGGGCAACAATTTAGATGCATTTCATAATGATCGTCAAAAGGAAGAGTCAGCTTTTTCCGCATTGGAATTAGAGAACACGAATAGAGTTGTCAAGTCCTGGGAATCAGATTACTTGGATTTTCCAACAAACTATGTAGATATTTCCCCTTCTTTAACAGCAAGTTTCTGGACTGTTTCACATCATTTGAAAGAAGTGTCTGAAGTGTTTTCTGGGGAGCAAGCAGAAAATTGGCGATTCTCATTTAATAAACTGCTTTCTTCCCCAACAGAGAAGCTGCCATCCATTAGTTCACTTACTAAAGTTGATAGTATATCTGAGCAAACTCCTACTGTTAGTGTATTAGGTCACAGAGTTGAAGAAATGGACTTGTCTAGCCCTCCTTCAACTTTGGAAAGACAAATCTTTAGTTTATTTGTTTCAGGCCTTTCAGTGAGGATTTCAGAAAGTAGTGACAAGGCAATATCACAGTTGCAGTCAGCAGTGAACAGTTCTACTAGCCTAACCATGGCTTCCAATGATGAATTTTATTTAGAATTTCCTTTGCCTTCTCTGGAAGCACCTTTAAGTCAACATTCGGTACACGTGCAGATAAGCCACTTTGATATGGCACTTGCAAATTCCACAGAAAAATTAATAACCTTTGGTAGTTTACACATGGAAACAGGAGCTGATATATTAAGTGACCTAACCAGCATGACCTTCTTAAACAATAGGCATGAGCTTGCTTCAGTCCTTCCAACACATTCAGGAACCCAGCCTTCATGTTCAAGAGATAGCCAAACTGCTTGCTTGATCAATACATCAGTTAAGATTTTGGTAAACAGTACAAGAATATATGAGTCACTGGAGTCACAACGTGTTTCAGAGAATAATGCTATAACAAGTACTACTGATAATGCAAAAAGTACAGTTCAAATGGCTGCAGATGCTTTGTTAAGGAACAACAGCCCAGTGAGTTCTGACTCACTCACAATGACATTGTCTTTGGAAATCAGACACCCTCTTCATTCAGACTCAAAACTCGGAGTCAGTGTACCTCCTAACAGCTACTCAACACCTCCACTCCCAGAAAGTCTTCCGAATCATCTTGATCCAGTTTCTCCGAGCCTGATCCCTCTGTGGAATGTAGCAGAGCTAAATTTACTAACAACAGCAACACTGAGAAGTCATCTGACTGTTTTAGAACAACACTCCATTGAAAATCTTGAGGACGTTCTGAAATACTCTCTACAGGTTGTAGAACAAGAAGTGATCATCGGTGGTGATGAAATAAGGATTTCTGCTATTCTCACATCAACTAACAAATCAGGTCTTTCAGAAAGGGATTCAGAGTGGCAGGTGGATGGATACTTTAGCAAGCATAGTGAAGGAGTGTCTTCTGTGAATCTTGTGAGTATGCATTCCTTGGATTTACAAGTGCAGACAATATCCCTCTCTTTTGAGGATACTGATTTTGGAAGCTTTGCCAATCTCTCTTCTATTTTGGAATCATCAAGAACAGCGAAAATGGATAATGCAGTACCTTTGTCATCTTCATACAGTGGATTTATTCAGAACAAAGAGACCAGCTTGAGCCACACTCTGCTGACAACGGGAGGAGCACTCCATCACTCTTTCATGCAGTCCCAAATGTCAGTTTCTCCTGTAACGTACCATCAGTTATCAGTTTCAGCACATATTCATTCCTTGGCCAACTTATCATCTGGAACAAGCCAAAATACCACCCCTTATCCACCACTGAATCAACTTACTAGCTCTCCCCCAGTCCTCTTATCTTGTTTATGTTACTCCTTCACTGACTTGGGCTGCCTGTGTCGTCCTGAGGTCAACTACAGTATGTCAAGCCATCAAGTTAGATGTAGAAAAAAACATATCATCTTCTCTATTAGATATTCAGTTGGTAGACTGAACATAGAAATAGCTGAATTTCTTAGATATAGTTCCATTTAGCATATGAAAAGATTTTAGAATAGTAATTTAATTACAGTAGAAGGGAACTTGTAACATCTTAGTGATAGCAAATGTCATTAACATATGATTTCTAATTTTTATGTATTTCTCTAACTGAGACAGCTCTCATGAGACTGTGAGGATGATGTATTGGGTCACTCAGTATATTATGTTTTTTATATCATTTTATTATTTTAAATTGTAAGGGATGTTTCTCATTGACAGTATTCCTATATTTTTGAATATTTAACTTTCAAAAAACAAAGGCCCGATGGAAACCTTGTAAAGAGACTTTTGAAAAATTTGCCTGAAAAAACAATCCTGGTATTTCATTGATCATTATATTTTTGTAGTTGGGGTGGGTGAGGGGAGAATTGTTTTTCCATGTTCCTTTTTCCTCTTTTTTCAAATTATCTTTGGCTACTTTTCATTAAATTTCTGCCCAAAGGAATATTTTTTTCATTCAGCGTTTGGAAGTGGGATTTCCACTGCTTGATTTGGAGAGTGAGAAATCATTTTTAGTTGTTAACTATCTGCCGCTGCAGTCTCCTGAGAGCGTTTAAAATGGTAGATTAGTTCTTTGTTCTTGTTCTTTGTTCACCTCATTAAAACATGCTTTGGGTCACCATCTGGTGGAGATCTTGAAGCTATTGACTCTAGTTTGTAGATGCTAAGTTTGATTTTAAAAATACTTTGCATATTCCTATATTAAGGTAATTTTGCCCATATACATAATTATATAAATGAGACTGTATAATTATATATATGATTACATATGAATGCATGAGAATATATATTATGCACACTTTCTGTATATGTGTATCCATATAGTACATAAGATGCACATTATACACATAAAATCAAATCTAATATATGTATATACAGAAAAATATGCATATATACAAGATCCAAGTCTTATGGCAAATGTTTTCAGCTTGACCAAATTCCAGTTTTCTCTTTCTAAAGTCTAGACTTAATTTCTTCACTTTTTATTTGAAGCTGTCACAGCAATAATAACAAACAAAACGACAAAACTGCACACCAAATTTGTGTATTTGCTGATTTAAGGGAGGAACAAAGCCAATTAATTAAAAAGCAAGCAAGTTCATACTACTTATATAATAAAGAGGGTAACTGGTAAACCATCTTCCTTCAAGAAAATGACTCATTCCTCTTTAATCCCAAAGGAGTTTTCATACTAATCTTAATGAGAATATGATCAAATCCATAATGAAGAGAAAGAACAATACTCAAACCAGCTCTTGAGTAAGATAGTAACAAATGCGCACAATTAAATGGGAAAATACTAAGACTCAAAATTTTTGTTAGGTTATTTTATTTTTAAGCTCTTGTAAAATGATCTCCAGTAGTATCTATGAAGTTGTAAAATGATGACATTTGCTCCACCTGTATAAAACTAGAATAAAAGGTCTTTTTTTGATTTAGACTTGGAAAGATAGAGCACTTTCTAATTATGAGACAGAACGATTTTTCCGTATAATTTTCTTCATGTCCTGCTCTGTCCTATGGAGTGCCTCTGCCACATTTACAAAAGATTTATATAAACACATGTATCTGTGATCAAGACCCACAGCCTCATTTGCTAGCAGTCCCCAGCCAAACAACGCCATATGTGGGCATACATTGGACTACATTGATACAGAAGTTCTTAAACCTTCCTCACATCCAGGGATATTTTATCTCACAAGAGCAGATAGAATTTTGTAGTTGCTGAATGAAAATTTTTTGCCTTGTGAAAAGAAACCTTTTTTAACATAAAGCTCAGCTATGAGATAACTTGATTTTACTTATTACATGTGAAATCTCATAAATGACAAAAATGCTGTCTACCAAATCATGAGCTTCAAGAGAATTTATATTTACCTGGTGTTATTTCAAAACAATTTTATTGAATATAAAATTGCTCCAAGCCAAGTGTTAAGCATTTTGTGATTGAAGATGGTTTGTTCAGCTGCCAGTTTTGTAAAACTAACATACTGTTCTCCTGTCTGGCCGTCACCAGAACTGAGAAAAAAGATTGTGCTGCCAAAATGATAACTGGACAGCCCTGCTCCCTTCTGATTCTGTCCTCAGGTATCTTGTAACTTTCAACTGAGAAGCCATGTTTGCTCTCATAGAGTTTCCAGTTTTGAGAAATTTCCAAAGAACCTGCAGTGATCTCTGGATTATAAGAATATGACTGAGAGCAGAATGTATCTGTGTTGCAGAGTTCAGTAATTATAATTGTTGTTTAAATTCGTGAGATTTTCATGATCTTACTTTTACACACTGCATAAAAGGCATATGCAAAATAGTATTTATACATGATATTTGTGAGTTTCTGTGTCAAATATCAAGTGTCTGTGAAAAAAATGGAGAGGGAAATGATATTTGTGAGTTTCTGTGTCAAATTTCAAGTGTCTGTGAAAAAAATGGAGAGGGAAGGAATTCTTGTCTAGTTTGGTAGGACTAGTGAGAATGGGCCCAAGCCTGGAGTGCTTGTACGCTCCAAACTTATATGAAATCAACAAGAGCTTGAAGCGTCCCTGTCTCTGGGGTTCAGTCAAGTGTTTATATTCATCGTGAAACTAAAGTCTCACATTATTAAACTGGTAGATTTGCTCAAAGTTTCTAACTTTATAATCTTGTTTTTAATGGACAGGTGGGCTATTCTACAGGATATCTATAACTGTCTTTAGTTTAAACCCCAACTCAGCATCGAAAGTACACGATGTGGTTGCAGAATGGGTAAGTTAAGTTTTCTTTTATGTCTGAATACATATAGAAATATGACCCGTTGATGTTATCAATCTGAAAAGAAAAAAAAGAGAGAGAGAAAATACCAAATAAACTCTTAGCTTTAATATATGCTCTCTGAAACCTAATCTTTCTCTGTATTATTTGTTTGCACAGTACCTGATTCAAGCCTGTTTTGGGCTTTTAGGCACTATGGATAAAATTTTGAAATGTCTCCCCTGTACCAGTCAGCTGCTTAAAAAATGTCGATATTAGCTGAGATTTTGCAAAGTGTGTAGAAATCAGAATCATCCATTGAAAGAGGCAGGTGTCTTAAGTTCCTTGGTCACTATACAGAATGGAATTTTCAACTATTAATGTGATTTTGAATTTATATTATGACCAGCAGAGATAATAATAAGCAATCAGTGTTAATTCGTGTGAGACAATGCACCTTTCCAGTTTAGCCTAATAATCTTTACTTTAGAAGTCCTTTACCCTAGGTTAGTTGTTGGGGCTTCTAGCAGCTCTACCTTTTCAACACATCTTAGCGGGCATAAGGCTTCTTCCTGGGTCCCCTAGATGGAGGATTATTGAAGTTCCCTACCTTGGAAAGTTTTGCCTGTCTGAATACAAATACAGTTCATATGCTGGCACTCACACATTCTCTAAGTAGTCCTTGTATCAACTACTCACATGAAATTGTGATAAAGATGTTGCATTTATTGTTTGTTCTTCTTTTAATAAACCTGGAGGCTTGCAGAAGCCAAGGAAGAGAAAGTGTCTACAGTGATCTACAAACCAGAAATGCAGTCATCCACCTTTGCTAAGATTGTCCTCTTAGCAAGCAGTACTTAAGCAAAGTACTTACATGCTTGAGTCAAAGACTCTAGAAAGGTGTCACCTGGCCACTGGCTGAGTATGCAAAAGAGGATGGGCTGCAAAAACAGATTTGCAACATGAGGAGGTGAAGACGGTGGAATAATATCAAAGTCTTTAGTACCCCTGCCCTCCTACCCTTCACCAAATCATTGTCAAGATGCTGTTAAAATGAAAAGAACTTCAGCTGTCATGTTTCATTGACCCAGGGAAACTTCAAATTTTTAATTAATAGCTACCATTTAATGTTGACACTTATTATTTTTAAAAAAATTTCTACTTTAAAGCTAAAGCACACAGTAAATATGAATTATCTTAAAAATATGAAGTCATCACATTACAGTTATAAAAGCAGAGAAGCAGGCAAAACAGCAAGTTGTTTATGAACCGTTTTAGAATTTCACCCAGGATATTCAAATTCTAGCCGCCTTGACCATAGACTCTTTCATGCTGGGAAGATTTAGACCTGTGAGGGAATTAAGATTACTATTTCACTGACTTTTTAATTGATAGTAAGGTTCCTGTAGTTTTTCATTTTACCTTCATTAGGTTTTGGTAATACAGTATCCTGAGGTGACAGTTGCATGCAACATACAGATATTTTATTGTCTCTGATCTCATTTATGAGGCAAAGCCATATAGAAATATGCAGTACCTGGGACGCTGGCATCAGCACACTTACATAAAATTTTACGTCGTAAATGAAGCACGGGAATGGTTTATAGATGTCACTGGCACATGGAAAGCCACAGTGTCCATCCCAGCAGTGCAGGCACTGTCTCAAATCTCAGGCCTCTTTTAAGAATACCTGTTTTATCTTCTCTGCATCCTCACTCTCCTAGACAACAGAGAGCCCTTTATGCTAGTTTTCCCCATTGGAGAGAATCCCTTATAGTAATGTGTAGGTGGACGTACTGGCTGACCTTGTCTAGTCTGCTCAGCCAAATAAGCAATCAATCTCTGACTTCCTACGTGAACTAAATTTTCTAGGTGGGGAGCGTCAGCTTAGAAACATACACATCACCTTTGCAGATATTAATAGCTTGCCCTTGTACCCCCTATAATCAGTGGTAAGGATCCCATTGTCTCTAAAGGGGAAAATTAAGCACTCGGTGCCCGCTCAGAAATGAATAAAATGCATGTCTAAAACAGGGATCATCATAAGACTGTAGACTTTAGGTGAAAAACAACCCTGTATTTTTGTTAGTAAATCTTTCCTAATCCAAGTTTTTCTAAGAATTTAAGATGGTGAGGAGAGGGAGAGAAGAAAGTTTAGCTTCCTGTTCTCTCACCCACTCACTCTGTCGTTACCTTGTAAAGGTTCCTTTCTGTCTGTGAAAAGCCCCACTCTTCACCAGCAATTGTACATCTGATTGATAAAAGAGTAACCTCATTCATATGGGAGGGTGTTCTTTTCGCTTTGAAAATGGAAGGGAATTTCTCAAGAGGAAGAGAAGTGAAATTCTGACTCTCTCTTAGACAACGGAGATCCCCTATTAACATCTTGTCGTTCTTATGAACAATGTCTCCCTGTTTTTCAGCTAAACCGAACGTTCCAGAATTGGAATTACACTGTGTATGTGGTCAATATCAGGTAAATGAAGAGGGAAGATGTTTAAGCTACATTCCTGTTGTGAATTACCCCACCCTACTTAATATTTATTTCCTACCTTTATAGCATCCAACCTGGCCCCATAAAAGAGGGAGTAAGAGATAAAAGAAGCATTGACAGTCAAAGGTAATATCTTTAAAGAATTTTTATTGATAGAGGCAACACCTGCTATTACAAGATATGGCTTTATTGCATAATCCTGGGCATATCTTGCCAGTCTGTAAATATATGACTGCTGGGGAACTGAGTGCTCTGGATGGGCTCAGAAGCCTCCTACTGGTTGTGATGTTCATTTTCGTTTAAACTTACTGCACTTCTTTAAATGTTAATAGATGATCTGCTGCAAAACTAATAGAATATTAGTTATGTATGTATGTGGTACGGCACACTCAGCTTTTTTCAGCAACAAGCACTGGTACACTGGTGTCTTTCTACTGTGACTATATTTATTCTCTTGAACCGGAGCCTTTTGAGTTAACAGACATCTTACTAGATGCAAAAAACTGAAGAACCATGCTGGAATTGAAAGCCAAGCTGGTGTGAGTTAAGCTATTTACCATATGCCCTCATTTCCTGACTTCTGCTGGGCTCAGAGGCATTAGCACTGGGACAGCCTTAAAGGCAGCCAAAGAAAGTTAAGTGTGTCACACCCCCTGAAAACTGGGCCTCGGGGGATTTCTTTGAAAGCAGCAGCCCGATTTCTGAGGGACAGCTGGGAAGGGAGTGAGTCTTAGGACGAAATTAAGGAGAGGCGACCAAAACGTAATTAGTCCTGGAAGGAGGGAGAACAACTGGGTATGGGATGCCTCTCTTTGCAGTGTAGGCATAAGTACTGTAGGCAAGGACTTTAACTGTCGATAACTGCTGTGACAACAGCTGAGATTTTTAAGTGGAGAGGTAGCCCAGTATTCCCAATTTACCGTCAGAAAGTAGCTGCTGATGCTTCCAGATTTCTACAGAGTTTACCAACACATGAAAAGAGTTGTAAAAGTACATCTCCTTCCTGCATACCCATAGCAGAAAGACAGCTTTTGTTGGCAAAAACATGTAACTGGTATAGCTTAAACCCAGCCCCTGAACGGGCTATTTTGCTGCTTGAGCTACATTTACAGTAGGATTTTTGCCAGTGTAGTGATGTGGGTGTGATTTTTTTTTCACACTTCCAAATGACGTGGCTATGCCAGCAAAACCTTTTAAGAGCAGACCATGCCTCAGGTCTTAGTAGCAACCCAAGACTGCTAGGGAACATGAAGCTTTTCCTATCCTTACTGGTGCCTCTTTTACCAGACTAGCTTCCCAGCTTATCAGAAGCTGTTCTCCCCCAGGCTACACACCCGATGTCTTGACACCCTCCTGTCGTCCTACCTGCTGGACTTTGTTTCTTATTCCCTATCTATCTATAAGAGAAAAGGAGGTGAAGGGGGAGAAATGATTCTAGCCCATTAAAATACACAAAGTCTGTCAGTTCTCTGTCAGACAAGTGTTAAGCTCTGTGGCAGCAAAGCACTTAAGCACGGGCTTAAGTTTCATCATGTGAATAGTCTCTTTCTGGGAGTGTTCACATACTAGTTACATATTGCTTAAGTGCTGTAACCTCAGTTTTATGCCAGAGAGCCTTGTGAGAATTGAAAGATTTGCCTGAAGAGTCAATCCCCCACTCAGAAATACACTTTCAGGAGCAAGCACATAGGCAGTTCTGATATTGTCCTCTCTCTTATTCTTATTTCCTTTCCTTCTGGTCCATGATGTTTACTGTATTTTCTATAAGGCACTAGCATAGTTGCCATACAGTAAAACTAGCACTGAATTATTTCTGATAATGTGTCATGGGTATGCGGAAGTAATCCCATTCCTATTTATTTTGCTTATTTTAGAGGCAATGTAATTATATGTTGTTGATATATCATACAGTTTTTCAAGGAAGGTGTGGTCTAAAGAGAAACTGAAATACCAGCCTTGTCATGTGCTCTAGTGCATTTCTAGAAATTATTTATATGAATATTTTCCCAAAGATGAAAAGAGGTAAATGAAGGGATAGTCAAGAATTAGGGATAATTCTAAATTAGGGATAGTCAAGAATAAAGCTCCTCTCATAGTTTTAGACATTCCACTATTTCCCTTAGTTTTGAAGTACTTTTTATTCTGCTTTCCTTCATGTTCACCTAAACTGAATTTCACGCCACAATTAAAACTTCAGACCTAACCCATAAGCATCATTGCCTTAACTTTATCTTCTACATAAATGATCATATTAACTCTTCATCTAACTCATTAAACCTTATCTCTTGTCTTCTCTGATTTTTGCACTGGATCATAGTCTTCATGTTTCTCAGACACTGCCAAAATTCTTTAATTTACTCCCTGACACGTTTTTCCTCTCCTTGCATTAATTCAAATTCTTATCATTCAGATCTATTTTATTTTCCTTATCTTTTGCACTACTATTTCATACAGCAGTTTAAAAAAAAAAAGTCTTTTCCACCCTTCTTTGATACACTGTTATCTTATCAAGAAACTTCTATTACTGGGCCCCCCACCCAGTCTTCTTGCAAGAGAAAGAGGAAGAACCAGTAGAGAGAGAATGATTCAGAGAAGAAACAGGAGCTGGAAGTGGGAGGTAGGAAGCTGACCTTTTTTGGCTTGTTAAAAATAGGTGTTTTCCAGAAACATATTTTAAACTGCACTCCATTCTGCAGAAGAGCAAAACAAAACAAAACTGTGGAAGTGGATTATTCGTTCATTGCTGAGTTCTATGAGGTGCAACAATTCAAAGGACAGAGTGCTTATTATGCATTAATTGTATGTGGCAACGAGAGACACACACAGAGCCAAGTCCAAAAGCATATATTATTATCAGCACCTTGAACACTGTAATGATCTCTGGATGACAGCAGTGAAACAAGATAGTACTGTGGTAGATTCAAGATAGTACTGTGGTAGATTAACTATATTAATAGACAGAATTTTATCACAGCTATTTTTTAGTTTGTGTCTACATTCAGTTTTCTCCTCCAGTCCTACTGTATCTGTCTCTTGATCAGAGGGCAGCTGTTCCAAATAAAATAGGAAGGAGCTCTGAATGGGGTGTGAACATAACTGTTTGTTTTTCTGCCATTATTTCGCCCAAAGCTTTGAAACTTAAGCCCATTTGCGTTCTTTATATGGATAAATTAAACACACCTGGGTTTTTTCATTTAAGTCTTGCCTTTTATGGCACTACAGGATTGTCACACCTTTCTGTGACTGCTGCTTTTCTCATATGGGTCCTACTGAAGCTAGGTGTTGTCATACAACTAATGCTGGGCTGCCTCAGAAAGGGATTTGGCTTTTACTAAGGAACTCAGTGCCCCTGCTCCACCCCCCCCCCCCCCCGCTCAGTTTTACCCAAGCCCCAGGTTCATTTATAACCTTTTGCCACCTAGCAGCCAAATGTGATTATGGTTGCTGCAGCTTCAACTACCTGATTGTCATAATTCTGGCCTATTTCTTGTGTTTAATTGCTTCTGGGAAGCAACGTTAATGTCGCTACTGTTAAACAACTCATCCAAATTAAAAAGTATAGCGTGAGCAATCTGTTAAGACCACTAAGTTTAAACAGAAATCTCTTCTCTTAGAGATGAAAATAAAGAACTAAGCAGGAAAGCACAGATGCCCATGCCTAATCCTGCTTTTTTTTTGAAGTCCAAGGGAGTTTTGCCATCAATTTCAGTAAAGCAGATTCAGGCTCCTGCATGCTGTGTTCTTAGGTGCATGTTGCTTAATGGAAAGTTTAATGCACTTGGATAAAACTTCAGCTAATTAGATTGTGTAATGGTTTTAGACATGAGTTAGCAACATCAGAGCAACATAATTTTTCTTTTATAGTCCTAAGTATCAGTAGTTACTAAACTGAGTTAAATGAAATGGGCAAAGTAGTAGACTTTTGCATTCTTGTAGACTACTTCAAGTGTATTCATTGTGAAATAATAATATATTCTTATTATAAATGAATACATCTGTGATGTGTTACTTGGTTTCTGCTGGTGAGGTTTTAGGAACCTGGTCCCCCTCTACTTCCTCTGACTTCAACTTCAGTATTGAGCACAGTAAAGGACAGCTTTGACCAGTGCTGAGAAATACTTTCAAACGCCATCCTGTATGTATTATGTGTAATATTTATGCTTGGAACTTGGGCAAACAGAGAGCCTAAGAGAGATCCTCAGGTTTCTCCTCAGTGCTCTGCTGGCACCTTCTATCCATGACCTGTAAAGAAAGCCTTCATCACAGTAATCGGAATTCGAGAATTCCTCCTGAATTACTGAAGAATGATTCTCCTGCT